AGAGAGAGAGAGAGAGAGAGAGAGAGAGAGAGAGCCAAAACAACAAACAGATCAGGACCCCATTGTGAGTTCCCACTCTCTCTTCGTCACTGTCCACCAGGCTGACCCCAAATGGACTGTGTTTTTCCACATATCACAGAACCTAGTTCACTTTACCTTTGACAGCGACCAAAAACAAAAAAAACAAAAACCAAACAAAAAAAAAGAGGAAAAGATGTAACAGCTGTCCATACCTCATTCCCAGCTGGATGAAAACCACCGCCCCCGTAGTCTGAAAACTGGTCAAACCGATGAACTGGCCCAGAAGTGCGACGATCCCACAAGATCCCATTCCAAAGCAACATTGTATCTGAAGGGTTAAAATGCACAATTGACTGTACATGCCCCCGAACTGGAGGCGAGACTGAAGTATCTGTGAGCTTCTGCTCAAGATTAAAAGTTTGCACATCATACAACAGAACCTCCCTCCGAGCTGACTCTGCCGACACCGCACCAAACACGGTACCTCCATGGCTGAACCTCGCAGCTTTACACCCCTCGAATGAGCTCAAAGGTCCACTTGATAAGGCTGATGAGTCCCAAAGCCTCACATCACTTGTGCCCGATGATAGGATAAGCTGCATTTTTGGGTCATCGGCTCGAGGGGTTGACTGGACAAGGGTCACAAGCGACTGGTGGCCATGGTGGCTCTCAAGCAAATTGCCACTATTCGAGTCAAAGACCTTGAGCTCACCAGTGTGGCACCCAGTCGCAACCCTCGATGCATTTCCTAGGAATGTGATGCACGTTAGGAGCACAGATTCATCTCGGCAGGTACGCCAAGGGCGGAAGCGGCTGAAGATGTAATGGCGGTCGCGACGATGGCCATGCATCCCACCATAGTGGGTCCTGAACTCACGGGTGCCCAAGCGAGCAGCTAGGTTCACTGGTGCATCAAGGCTTTTACTGGATTCAGGGCAAACATGGGGATGAAGCAAAGATATTGGGGGTAAAGTGGTAATTGGAGCAGGGCATTGTCGGTGCTGGTGCTTTAGGTACTGTACCACCAGTGAGTCAAGGGTTGCTCGCTCTGTGTTTGGTGGTTGAGGCTCAGCAAAGAGGCCGGGAGTGCTATCTTCTGAATTATCTAAAAACATTGAGTTGGGTGTTGAGGAACTCCAATAGAAATTTTTATGAGTAGAGCTTGGAGTGACTGGAAAGGTCGAGGCATCTGAAATTTGACCCACTTTACGAGAGTTAAGATTAGGCGTAGGGACAACAGGAGATTGAGCTGAAGAATCCGTCAAGGCGAAACGCTTCGCTGGTGATGAGGAAGCACTCTCCCTATCTGTTAGCTTTCGCTTCATGGGTAACAAAATGGGTGTCTTTAAGTTTTCTATTATGGGAGTCCTTGAGTTTTCTAGTGGAGCTGATAGAACTTCAGGTGTCCTAGAAGATAGAGAGAGATTCTTTGAATTTGAAGCTCTGGAAACAGACTTTGATCCAGGTGTTTGTTGAGATGCTGTCTGAGTTTTTGCTTGACAGCTGAAGATGGGTGAGAAAGAGACTGATTTCTTCTTTGAACCACTTGCTGACATGTCGACCTTTGGGCCAGAATCTTCAATTCGAAGCATTGGCTTTGGTGCTCCTGAGAGAAACCCACCAGAGACATGTCCTGATGGCCATTGGAACTGCACAGCTAAGTTCTCTTGGACAGCTGTTTGATGCAGGACTGGCGTTGGTACAGAGAGATATGGTAATGGTGTCAACTGTGCCTCCTTCAATAATGCAGCAGCAGTAGCATTCAGGCCAGATGCCTGGAGGTGTTCATGTATGAGGAGTAACAGCTCCCTGGGAAAAGGCACAGAAGCCCCATATGAATGCATTGGAGGGAATGAGTGAAAGGTTCTGCAGAACCTCTTACATGAAAGGGAAAATATCAAGAAAGAACTCGAAAATCATCAAGAAAGTACTTGTTTAACAACAAAAAAATAAAAAATAATCAATAAAATTCTTGAACTCGATAAAGTTTTGAAAATATGACTATCTTAACCGAGTCATATTACCATCATTTTTTAAACTCCTAATTGGAGTCCAATAGTCATTTCAAAAACTGACAGGCCCAAGCCCTGTTTGGAGTTTTCAGTTTCTGGACCACCTCCAAGAACCATGCAGGTATTCCAACGTACAGTCCTAATATTTACCCTAGATCTAAACTGAGATGGCACATAGCAACACCACCTAAGAAACTATCATGACCATGAATGAACGAAAAAAAAAGCCAAAAGACAGAGCATGAACCAAAAACCATTACCTGGAATGATAAGTAATAGGCGTAGCTGCAGCTATGGCTGCTCTCTCAATGCGCTTCAGAGTAGGGGCAGCAGCATCAGTGGCTGCTATTGTACTTGCACGACCAGAATTTGTCACAATCTACAAGATTAATCCATAGTTGAATATGCATTGTGGGGTTTCGAGTTTTCAATCTCTCTATAACTTATAAAAGAATTGGTTTAAAAGTTAAAAACATTTTGATATTCATGGAAGTCACAAACTAACTGGTCATAACCAAGAGAGAATATGAATGACCAAAATCTCACATAGAAATAAGAAAACAAGTAATAGAAGTGGCTTCATAAAAACTACTTACTGCAATGAGTTCCATGGCCACTTGGCTAAGTTCCACTTGCCACCTTCCATGCTCCATTCCAGGTGCCTGGCTGCCTGAATCTCGAATAAGTTCAGAAAGCAATTTCCCAACCTAAGTGTTTTCATATGAAGTGTTGAAATCAGAATTCATGTAAACGAAAAAAGAAAGCTCATAATAAGAGCATAACTCTTGAAGAAATCACTTTCACATACCTAGAAATTTAAGAACAAAAACATTTAGCATTGCTTCGTAAGCATGCATACAATTCTTCAAGGAAAATGTTGTTGATCACTAATTAACTTTAATGAACATGATGATACGATTCAAGTGCCCGAAATATGGATCTAAAAAAGGAATAAAAAATAATAGGCAGCATTAAGCAGCTATAGAGCCAGAACATGTAAAATTTTAATATTGAACTATATATTAGCGGCAGAAACAGCTCAAATAGGACTAAGCAGAAACCTCACAAGATCGTACCCTTAAACTCAACACAGACTGCATAATCTGCCAAAAAGTTCTTATGTGCATCCTCTAACACCTACAAGTGCATCATGGGGGACAAAAATTAGGCAGCATCCTCATTGTCTCCATTAACCAAAACTATCTCACTTTTACAATATATGTTGATTGCATCATTGGAGACCTTAGGTGCCATCTCCACCAGGGCCCCAAACCAGAATTGGAATCTTTGTTGTTGAACTTTCATTCCTCGCCTAAGAGGGAGGTGATTAATAAGATAAAGACCCATCCCAACAAAATGGTGAGCAGATTAGGAAATTTACCGCTTCTAAATACACCTAAAACTTGACCATCTGTCAAGTCAGGATAGACTAAATAATCCCAGAAAAGTCATGAGGATATCAGGAAATTAACTTACATTAATAAATAAATAAAAAGAAATAATAATAATTCTAGGAACCGGAATCTTTACCGCTTCTATATACATCTAAAACTTGACCATCCGTCAAGTCAGGATAGACTAAATAATCCCAGCAAAGTCATGAGGATATCAGGGCATTAACATACATTAATAAATAAATAAAAAGAAAAAATTAATTCTACGAACCGGAATCTTCTCCACTTTACTTATTTTTATTTGTAACGGGTCATGAATTTTTTTCTTATGCTCACCACCCATTAGAAAGAAAAACAAATAAACAAAATCATGTGCTTAGCCATTAAAAAACAAGAACATGTAAGTTTGTATACCGCTAAGGGAGAAGAATAAATGACAACAAATTGGCTTTCTCAAGTATGCCATAGCTTATTATTTGTTATGCTGCAAAAATAAGAAATCCAATAAGGAAATTCCTGAAGCATTTCACTTTTATACATGCACTCAACTATAATATTCCTCAAACCATATCCCAAGCTTCACAACAGAGTATTATTTTCTTTTACAGTTAAACCAAGAAAGCAACAAACATAGGCATAAAGCAACAAATTACCCCATACAAAAGATTAACATTTTCAACAGCAACTCCAAACAAAGAACACCTTTCATATACAAAAAATTGTTTAAGCGTCAAGCTCCATTATGATCTTTCATATAAAATCTCCCATTCCTCAAGTGCTATTAACAAGAAAAAAAGCATTGCACAAGCTACTATTATATCTCATCAGTTGATAAACAAGAACCCAAATACCTGTAGCTTTGTCAATATGTGTGCAATTACATCATCTCTGGCTAAACCAAGCAGAACTCGACATGCGAGAGCACGAATGCAGTCGAGAGAGGCTGGAGGAAGGACTACTCTTGGATGGAGGAGATGCAAAAGCACCTTTATTCCATTGTTTGCTCGAACAGCCTCCCTCGCTTGTCGATATCCTTGTTCCATAGTTGTAGCAAGGCCAGCACAACCATGTCCAGGTCCCAAAGATATCCTACGATCTCCAACCACTCCCGAAGCAACAGAAGGTCCACTAGATTGTGAACTGTTTCCAGTTGCTGGCCCCTGGGGAGCTGAGCCACCGGGCTCTGTAACAGCCTGTTCCCCATTCCGTTCATTCTGGGTGGGCAAAGATGCTTGAGCATTGGTCTGACTTTGGGTAAGTGAGAGGGGTTTATTACTCAGAGATGGAGGAGGGCAGACAAGATTGACCAAGATATTCAGAGCTGGTTGAATTACCTGTTTATGAAACAAGAATTCTCAAATATATGCTTCAAATTACACAAGATTATAAAGAAATATATAATCAGTTCGGAATTTTCAAAGTGAAGAGCGAAGACAACTTAATTTTTAAAACTATTTACCTCAGGATCAGCATAAGCAGCACCATTCGCCGAGTCCAAAATGACAGCCATACCCACACGTTCATTGCTCAAAGTAGCAGTCACAACAGCCTTACGACTGTTAGGGACCAGTGTAACTAATTGCAAAATGTCCAAGGCATACTGGGCCAAGTCATGCAGATAGCGATCAGCAGGTGGGGCCTGCACAAGTGACATAATTAGACATCAGTAAATGTGCACAAAAAAAAGTAAGGGCACAAGGATATGCAAAAAAGGCGGGCACAAGGATATGCAAAACAGAATCTCATACTTGGCATAACTCCAAAAGAATGGTATGCCCATTGAAATCTAGGAACTTTTGAACAACGGGCCAGCGTGCTCTTACAAAAGCTGGCCCAAGCTTTCGGTCCCGCTGTAGCTGTAAAAACACAGCATCCATAGCTTCATTGCTGATATCGAGGGGCTTGTAGACAGCCCTTGCACTTGGAATGTTCCTTCCCGCACTTCGGTTTTTGTTGGGACGAAGAGAATCTACAAGCAAAAGAAGATGGGCACGAAGATATTGACGCAATGCGACACATGTATGGTAAGCAATCTGCTTCTCCGCAGCTGTTAAAACCTCATTAGGACCTCTATCATTTCTAAGAGCTCCCAAATTAGATAGACCCAATGCTCCAGAATTACCACCAGATCGGACAGAGGCTACAGTTCTCAGAAGATTCAACATCTTTTGTAAACCATCTTGTGCATCAAAAGAATCAAGCACTGCTCTAAAGACGAAGGCAACACCAAAGAACAAGGCAGCATTTTTTCTAGCTTGATCTTGGGAGCATTCCATAAGTTGAAGTGCTAGCTCAACGACTTGATGGATGACATCTGGAGGAAGAGCACAGACACGTTCCATGATTGCCTAAAACAGAACACAAAATAAATCAAGTTTTTTCCTTTAGGAGGAAACAAGATTCGAAAAACATTTAGAAATAATTTATGTGGGCCTATATGACAGTCCCGCACCCTATAATGTCAAAATTACCCAATATGATAAAATCTGTGATTTTAAAATTTGCCCCCTATTTTTTGGCAAGCACCTGATGTATTGCTTTCCGATATTCCCAAAAACAGGCAATATAAAACCTGTTCTATTAGATTATTTTGAAAAATAAGAGGTGTGCCCTTATATCCTTTCTACACCCATTATTTCTTGAAAATACGAATTATTAATAATAGCACATGCATTATATCCATTAGAAATTCCATTATAACGGATATTTTCCAAATACCACCTGTTGTATCTTCGTTTTTTAAAAATCAATAATTCTTTTGGTCCCGATTTTGAAGCCTATACATCGACAGATACCATTACAAATCAGTGGTATAATAACCCAGACAATTGCTTATTGGTTTTTTCAACCATGGGTGTAAACAAATGACAAATGCAGAGGTAACAAAACCTGCCAAAAGAGGGAGGTACATTGATTCAAATACTCATTTTAGCATTTCATGCATTTACCTGGAGAGATCCAATGGCAAACAAGCATAAAGAAAGGCCGGTAAAAGTCTGAGGAATTCTTTGGACAGCTAAAAGCTTCTGCATACCACCACGATCCACAAACAACGACGCGAATTTGCGATGAGCCGCTAAAGCACAGATGAGTTTCAGCACTTCCGACAGCATGGCCAAGCTTTTCACAGACTGCTTGTCCTTAGAATGGTGATGTAACAATGCAAGGCAGACATCCACTCCCTTTTCATGCAAAACAGGACCCAAGACCTCAACATATTCTCCTAGCTTCTCAAGACATTGAATGCAGTATAGCTCCATTTTCTGAGCAAGAGATTCAGCATCAAGGATAACATAGCCTTCTAGTTCCTCCTCCTTTTCAGGTTCCTTGGTACTTGTTGATTCCCCAATAGCAGTCAGGCTTTCCCTGCATAGCTTGCATGATAAGCAGATATATACAGAGTACACATTGAAACGGCATAAAAGCCATGCTGTAAAGACCAGATCAGAAAGGCCACTCCAACCACTTTGTCCAGAAACTTGCCACAATCACTGTCTAGTCCAGGTCAAAGCCTTTAGGATTGATAATCTCGTGAAAATTGGTTCTGGATGGGTCAGACTTTTCTTTTTCAATTTTTTTAAAATTTTTTCAGATACTTGTCTGAGTCCAATCAGTTGGAACATTGATCAGACTGGTTTGGATAGGATTGGCTCATTAAACAGTTTAATAACCAATCTTTTCTTTAAAACAATGATGAAAGAACATCAGCTTTGTTACCTTGAAACCTCAGTTGCTTTAGCAGCATCTACAACAGTAGAAACAGCTGTCAATGCAGCTAAGAGAGCAGCTTCTTCATCACCCGTATTTTTCAATGCCTGCAGCAGTAAGAAAAAAAAACAAAAAGAAAAAGAGAGAGAGAAAGACCAAGTCAGATAGGTAATTGACCTAAGAAAGCAAAGTATTAAAGAACCCACAAAGAAATATTGGCATGGATATCTTACCTCCAAAGCAGTAGTCTTGACAAGCTCGGCAGCAGCTTCACCAGCTGCTTTGACTGCCTCGTGGGGTGCATTCGCCGCTCTGGCTTCATCTTCAGCAGCTCTAAATGCTTTCATTACCAGATCAGATATGTCTTTTGTACCAACCTTGAATTCTTTACAGGAATAATCATTCTCCTCTCTCTCTGTAACAGAAGCATCTGCATCAGTCTTGTTGAAATCCTTCTTAGTATCCATCATTCTTCTAGAATCTCCAGATTTCACTGGATTCCTCTCTTTAGTATTTCGCACCTGTCCTCCTAACCGTATCCCACTTCCTGGAGAGGTCAAAGGCTTTTCAGGACGCGAGGCTGCACGATTTCCCCTCCGTCTTGAAGTCTCATCCCTCACACTTTCTTCTAAAGTTTCATCTCTTGAGTCTTCAAAGAAATCCATCACACCAGCTTGTTTGGAACTGACACTTCTCTCACGATCCCTGCCAATATTCTGATCATCTGCTAACCCCTCATCAAGTGGTCTTGCAACATCCACACGAATAGCGTCAGATGCTAGCCGTGTTCTCCCTTTATTCTCTTCTCGCCCTCTTGAAAATGTAGAATTAGAAAATCGTTTACTCTCTGTTGGAAAACTAGAATCTTTCTGGCTTGTGTTTATTTCTCCCAGCACACGGGTGCGAAGAAACCTCATAAGTTTCCCTGATAAACCAGATGTTAACACGTCTTCCACCATTTGACCACCCCTATAAAAATCATCAGATAGGAAGTTACAAGTGATTAACTGAACTAGAATGAGATAGCATGAATATAAATTTAGAGGATGCACATACCCACTCAATGACACAGCCAGAAGTCCAGTCGCATAAGTCCTCAACATATGCATATCAACAGGGTTATTCCCGTCAGCTTCACCTTTGTCATCCATCACCCAACGTTTGACATTCTCAAGCACTGATTCGTCAAAAACATGGGGATACTACACATATCGAATATCCAAGGAAGGGAAGAAACACACAATGAAATAGATCCAATCAGTGTTTACTCGTAATACTGTTGATGAACTCATATGTACACACTACATTCATATGGAACATACCAAATTGATTGATTGTAGTGCTTACCATCCAGGTCGTAGAACAAGCAAGAAGCAACCGTGCAGCAGCACAACGAACACTTGTAGAATATCGGCTCTCAGTGAGGAATTTGAAAGAAACAAGCTCAAAGAATTCATCATTATCCTAAAAGAATGAGGAGCATTTCAAACAAAACACTTAGGAAATATAAACAGCGAAGCCCAAATATAATGCACTCAAAATCATATTGGCACCTTACAATCAAAATAGGAAATTTCAATCACAATAACACATATCCAATGCCATAGATCATGCCAAAGTGGTCAAATTGTGAATAGACTATTGCAAAATCAGTTACCCGAATTAAATTTCCCAGGCGTCCTATATTATGAGAGGCCCGACCATTGCTGAAGGAAGAACGACCTGACTCCTCAACATATCTGCGGTCAAAAAGAGGGAAAGTTAACTCGAGTTGATCATCACTATTCACTATAAATGTATTAAGAGGAAAGTACAAAATGTATTAGATGGCAACTAGAATGGACCTAGTCTATGCTCAAAAAGGCGTAGGCGCCTGCGTAGGTGTTTTGGGGGCCAGGCCTCCTAGGCGGCCGAGCGCCCGCAACTGGTGGACTATTAATTAACATGAAAGTTATATTATGATTATCATTTATTAATTAATATCCATAAGATTTGGTTTGGATATCAAATGTTCACAAAAGCCCAATTTCATCGTCCAAATGAGGAAAAAAGCAATAAATCACAAAAAAAAATCAATCTTTCAACTACAAACATGTAAATATATTGTAAAAGAAAAAAAAAAGGTAAAAGAACAAACAAATGATTCACAACATAATACGTTATAGCAAAATCAAATCAAAACCCTTATTCAAATATGATACTACTTTAAAAATATCAAAATCAAGTCGATGTCAATGTAATCTCGTCTATTGGGTTGCCAAAAATCCTCAAGATCGACTAGTAGAATCTCTAAAAACACCCACGAACTATTGCCTTTGTTTTAGGAAGAAATTGAAAAAATCGATAATTTATCGATCTTTCGATAAATCACAAAAGAGAGGGTTTTTGGGGAGTTTTCTCTCTCTAAAAAGTAAGGTTTTGGTTTTGGGGGTTAGAATATCCCCCAAAACCTGGAGGATGACAAATTTTGACCCCCGCCGAGTGAATCATATTCCATCTTGGTACATAAAAACAAACAAATAGCATAAACTGATTTGCATGGAAGCCAGCATGACCAGTACTAAAAGCTAGCAGTCATTCCATTCAAACCAATTTGCATTGCCAAGATAATCATCAACTGAAACATAATCATTTTTGTATCATTACAATGCAAACACAGAACTTAGAAGCGTTAAGGGGGCTTCAAAACCTGTATTAAATGGTTTTTCACGCCATCATGTACTCTAAGAATTTCCAAATCACAATAGGAAAACAAAATTTTGAACTCAATACATCTGAAATGGAGAACCCTTTTTTTGGGTTATCATTCAATACGTAATCTAAGGACCTCTTCATAGAATATGAGAGACACAGTTCCACCCTGCCCTCCACACGAGTCAATTTCTTACATGGTTGCCAAGAATTTGTGCAGGGTATCATACCACACCAGAGCTACTGGTATAGGCAATTTGAATCATAGTTTTCGAGATCAGACTGAATTGGTCAGATTGCCGACCGGTGCCTTGCCCAGTCTATTCCAACTAGGTTGGGTCGAAAAATCATCAAGACTGATGTTTGACCAATTTTGCCAATTGGACTAGCTAGTTTTAACTAGTTAGACCAGCTAAACGAGGTTGGGCCAATTCTTCTAATACATTTTATATTTTCAAACTATTATATCTAGTTCTCTTTCCTTGTTTCTAAATTCCGTTAGATTGGACCAAACCCCTCACCGGTGCAGTGGCCGGTTTGATCAAGTTAATAGATATGAATTACCAAGAAATCATATAGAAATATACTAATTGCTAAAAGTTACTCATGTATATGTATGTGTGTGTATAGATAGAGAGATATATCGAGAGAGAGATAGAGATTAGTAATTTAGTAAATGTTTATCATACATTTTTTATATTTTTAAGACTATCTAGCCACTAGATCAAAGGGAACACGTGTAAGGTGATGCCGAAAAACCTAAGGCTAACAAGCCATTGTTATTTGTTAATTACCTTGTTACCTAGTGCCCACCAAATCTCTCATATTCATGAAGGCTGTCATAGCCTCTCTCAATTGCTCATCATAATCCCTATTACCCATTTATCGCATGTACTATAAATAGAGACAGAACAAGAAAGCCTTTTTTCCCCTTTCCCTAATCTTTTACGTCCCTTCATGTGTATACATGTCAATACACTCTATCCTTATAGAAACAATACATATGTACTTTCCATGCATATAAATAAAGTACTAGACAGATAAAATAATTGCTATTATGCATAAAGGTCAGTGTAACATAGATATCATTGCTTGCTGGACATCATAAAGACCATGTTGTTTCAGCTCACATTTCATCCCAGGAATTCAAGATCTATAGATGATTCAAGTTTCTCCTCCTATGTACAACTAACTATTAAAAAAAGGGTGCGGTTTGTATAGAGCATAGGCTCTAAACAATCAAAATAGTGTCGAGAAATGCAATTTCAATACTGGAAATCTTTGTGATAGCCTTAACATATATTTTCATCTTTATTTATAAAGTTCAAAGCTTCAAAAATAGTGTTGATCGACAGATCTATGAAAACTTGAAAATTGACGGTCCAAAAATGAATTTCAAAATGCACTATTTCCAAAACTTGAAATCCATTTTTTTCTCATGTCCATGCATCTTGATGTCGAGATGATCAATTTGAGGATATTTGGGCATCAAAACAACCTCTTCTAGTGAAACTTTTGAGGTAGGCTCTAATTTGATTGTTTAGAGCCTCGGCTCTATATAAACTTTTCAAATTAAAAAAAGAGAGGGCACGACTCAATGCATTGATCGTGAAGGAACAAACTCCCAAGGAATACACATATAGAGTTAACAATGCAGCATAAAAATGTTGATGTGAGTCATAACCAATGTTCAAAAAATGCGGATTTGGGCACCAAGGCGTTTTGGGTGCATGGCCACTTAGGCACCCACCCAGGAACAGGGTACCCTCACAATCTTCAAAAAAATTGAAACCCCCCCCTCTCCCCCCTTGATATGTGTTCTCCCCCCTTGATATGCGTTATAAGATTAAGATGCACTATGTTAGTTTTACAATAAGACATTACTCATTAAGATATCATATAATTAAGAATTTAAGAATTAAGATATATGATATGATATCATTAAGAAGTTAGTTTCAAAACAACATGACTTAATATTCTGACTTAATATTACTTTACAATTAGACTTAAATGAATATATAAGATCTTAGTTTCACTTTAAGAATTAAGACTTAAATTCATTAAGAAATCACATAAATACATAATCAATTATTTATCAGATAAAGAAAAACAAAAATAATAGAACAACAGAACATGACACTGTACAAAAAAGGAATCAACTATTCATAAAAAAATACAATATATGCCCAATTTCATCGTCCAAATGAGAAAAAAACCAATTAATCACAAAAAAATCAAGCTTTTACCTACAAACATGTAAATATATCGTAAGAGAAAAAAAAAGTAAAAGAAAATACACATGATTCACAACATAATATATTGTAGCAAAATAAAATCAAAACCCTCTTTCAAATATGATAATACTTTAAAAATATCAAAATCAAATCGATGTTGGTGCAAACCTCATCTACTGGGTCACCAAAAGTTCTCAAAATCAACTACTAGAAACTCCAAATCCACCCACGAACTATTGACTTTGTTTTGGGAAGATATCGAAAAATAAAAAATTTATCAATCTTTCGTTAAATCACAAAAGTGGGGTTTTGGGGGGATTTTCTCACTCTAAAGGAACGGTTTTTGTTTTGGGGGTTTAGAATACCCCCCAAAACCCTTTTCCCCCCTAATAAATTAAAGTTTTTTTACCTAACCAAGGTTTTTGTTCCACTCGTCCGCAAAGTCTCACAGGCAGCGCCTCGGCAGACGCCCAGACAGTAGCGCCTAGGCGACCGCCCAGAGACAGGATGCATAATGCCCCCGCCCAGACATCACCTAGGCATTTTATGAATTTTTTTGCCTAGGAGGCCGCCTAGGCAGTCCGGCGGCCAAATTTTTGAATTTGGAACAGTGGTGGTCATAACTAATCAAATGTAGATGAATATCATTTTCTTTAAATGTTTCTTAATAAGTTGCAAATGAATGGGCAGACATCAGTACATCACCATAAAGAGGATTTAAATTTATTCAAAACTCAGACAAATTTTTATGAAGAAGTAAAGTTAGGCTGGATTCTGTATGCAACAACTACTTAAAATAACATTCCACTCAATTCAACTAAAAGAGAACTTATGTTCTTCACAATATCCATGTCAAAATGACTCATGTAAATCAGAAGAAAACACTGGTTTCTCCCAGGGGTGCCTCTACACCCTGATTAGATCAAATCAAAATGACACATTCCTTAATTCTTCTATACAAGGGCATTCCAGTATTTCATACCTGAAGAGAGAGCTTGACATTATATGCAACACCTCATAAATGCCAAGAAATGCATGATAAATAAAATTAAAGCTACAACAGGCAACTTCAGAATGAATCACAAAACTGGTAGAAAGAAGCAGTTTGGTAAAACACAATCACCATTTATGATTCACCTTCAGACAGGGACGATAACAAATTAACTGAACCAACCTAGATTTTGAAAGTAAACATAAAAAGGCCCTCATTCGTCCAAAAAAAAAAACAAAGGAACATGGACAAAATGTAAAGGAAGAAAAAAAAAAGCCTTAAATTTTAATGAAGTTCACTTGACAACTCATAAAACGAATAGTGACAAGCATACCAGACACCATAAATTTGATAACCATAGAAAGAGCATCCAATACCAAATACAAAAATAGTAGAAGTTCATAACATACCGACAAACTAAGACTATGAAGTAAAACTTTGCTTCACTGCTTACAAGGAAAAAAAAAATGAAGGTGCCACATTTGAATTGCCTCAACTCCAACATGTGGGTCATCAACAGAAGTTATTGAAAATCCCATATCAATAAATAATGACATATCAGTCCAACAAACTGATGAAAATACTTCGAGATAGAAAGAAAGAGAGACTTGAGCAGATGACACAAACCAAAACGAAACCAAACAATCAAATAGACACTTCCAACGTGAAAACCCTAAACCCATCTCACTCAACAACCAAAAAACCCCGCTATTGCATGTCAACTGTACCCTGGCCCAAAACCCCAAATCAAAGCCCTAAACTTTGGAATGAAAAACAACCACCACATCCAAACACATTCATACCCTAGTTTCCACAAAATTCAATCACACAACCAAACGCACAAACCCAAAAATTCCCAGCACATAAAAGAAAAAGAACTAAACAATGCTCCGATGAAAATGGAAGAAAAAATAGGTACCTGGATTCTTGAGTCTCCATCATCGAAGCCAGGGCATGGAGGACCTTAGAATTAGGGTTTGCCTGTGACGAAGTGATCTTCGCCACGAAATTATGGGCTTTAGAGAGCAAGTCATCCTTTTCAGAGCGACCATTTGAAGATTCAGGCTCTGCTTCTGCATTTTGCTGGGCTTGAGCGTCCACTGTTGTAGGCTGGACCTCCATGGATTCGCAGAGCGAAGAGCAGAGACGGGAGAGGGGAGAGAGAGATTTAGAGAGAGAAAGGAAGGCGGTAATAAGAAATGAGAAGCTTTCGATTTGAGCGTTCAATTTTCCGCTACTATGCGTACCTTTTAGCAGAAAGGGCACAATAATTTTTTATGACGAAAATGCCACCAGACTTTTCTTGAGTTTATCAAGACTGTCCTCTCTCCCTTTCTGGAATTCTCCACGTGCGCAGTATTCACACGGGCCGTAGCAAGCTTCTCCGTCTGCCACGTGGGGGAGACCTAGAAGTTGGATTGTTTTTTACCTCTAAATTTAAGTGGAATGTAACCAAAATACTCATTAAAATGGATTAAGTGGAACTCTTGCCAAATTTAGTGAGATTTTGTGCACTCCCTTGGCTTCATTAGAAGTAGTCCATCTATATTTGTACAATAAAAAATAGAAAAAAAATTATACAAGATTGAGACCCTAGACAATTGAATTAAGACGCACCTCAAGAAGTTAGTAGAAGAGGTTGTTATGATGCTCAAAAATCCCCAAATCAATCATCTTAACCTCAAGATATATGAACACGAGAAAGATTGGATATCAAGTCTAAAAAATAGTACATTTTGTAATGTATTTTTTGAGTCGTCAATTTTCAAGATTATCAAGTGTTCATAGATTTGTACTATTTTTTAAAGTTTATGTTTTATAATTAGAGATAAAAATAAATTTTTAGGTCATCACAACAAATTTCAAAACACGGGGCTGAGAGAATTTTTAGGTCATCACAACAAATTTCAAATCGGTAGGTGACATATCCCACGGGGCTGAGAGAATTTTGGATAAACTTAGACGTGTAAGGTGGAAATTGGTTTCATTTGATAGAAAGTTTTGTCAAATTTAAAAAATAAGAAAAAATGATGCTACATGTAGTATAATTATTTTTTAGGATTGTATACTATTAGACTATTTGAGATAGTAGACTTAGGTGGGCTGGCCATGTATGGTGCCGATCAAGTATAGCAACTGTTAGAAAATGCGAATTAGTTCAAGTGGAATGACTAAAAATGACAAGGGATATGCCCAAAAAGAAGTGGTTAGAAGTAGTCCCAAAATATATAGGGACTTATAGTCTCACTGATGATATAGCATTTAATAAAGCATAATGGAGAATCATGATTCATGTAGCCGACCACAATTAATTGGAAAAAGGTTAAAATGATGTTGAATGAATGATGAATACTATTAAACTATTTATCTTTGTCACAATGATGTCATAATTGCTACTAGCTATATATCTAATTGGATGGCTTAGGGCACGTCACAAAGTTAAAGATATATTTTCCTTTTCTTAACTTTGAATTTAATCAATAATACATTCATAACTACACAATTTGAAATCTGAGAGATAAGAGTGAATGTGACCTCCATATATTAAAAGCAAATGGTCTCTTTGTATACTTTTTCTTTTCTTTTTTTTCCTTAATATTTGTCATCATTCAACCTTATTTTTTTGTGTCTCAACTCTCCAGTAAACCCATGAAAATTAGCCTTCCTCCTTTTTGTATTTGTATTGCCATGTTTTTTTCTTGAGAGGAACATATGGCCCTAACTCAGATGATCTCATAAGTCCACTCTTAAAAGGCTGCTTCTTTCATTTATTCCATATATGTCATTGGTCCTAAGTAGAAATAGAACTAATATGCATTCCAAAAATGAGATTAAGTGAAATTAAATACTAGAAGTATGAACATCATGGATATGGAATGGGTCCAAGTTTGCCAACTTCTTTTAGGCCTAGTTTGGACAGCCCCATATTTTTATTAAGGAATGGGGTTATTTAGGAACAAACATAATGTAGGGTTTTCGAGGGTTTTAAACAAGCATGGGAGATATTTTCGGCATTTCCGAAAAAAGTGGGGGAAAATAATGGAGCTGTCTCATTCTTGAATGGGCAGGGAGAGAGTGAGATTATTCATTAATAAAATAACTATTGAACTACCCAAAAAAAAAACAATTTGTCAAAACCTAGATCTTAGGTTCAGCTTTGGGGCCATAGTTTCGTACTATTGGTGTGCGACTTATCTTCAATTATACTACTAGGACCTATTTGGAGTTGGACATACCACTTATTTAGATACTAGCAATAGAAAATGTGTTATACATTTTAATCCATGCTTTATTTTCATGTGTAAAAAATGATGTATTCCAAAAAAGTATTGTTGAAGAGAAACTCATAGTTCTCTTGTTTGTTTAAACTCATATCATCTTTCAAAAATGTTAAAACTTTAACATATGCTTTTAACAAAAGTATTGCATATACTACAAATATTTTAAGGGTGCAGTTTGCATACGGATGCATCGGTAGGTTTAGAGGTAAGGTGTACCTTCAAATTTTATCATGGTATATAATTTTGATGTAAAATGTTCTTAGGATTATCTCAAAATCTATTTTTATATCTAATTATAAAATTTTAACTTTCAAAATTTTTTAAAATCAAGTAGATCTATAAACATATGAAAATCTTGAAAATGGACGGTATAGTGCACTATTTTTTAGACTTAAAATCTTTTTATTTTTCATAGTCATACTTCTCGCTGTCGAGATGATCAACTTTAAAACCACCTTTTCTGATGGATTTTTGAGGGGGCATATATAGTTCTACATTATAAAGTAGCATCCTTATATACACTTTTTCCATATTTTAAAATGTAACTTTGAAGTTAATAAGTTGCCAAAGCGAATTTGGAACTCTCTTTTCCTTTCTCTTAAAAAATCCTCTCTCTTTGTTTTCTTTTTTGTCTCTTCAACGATAAAACCTCCATAAGTAGAGCCATAGATTTCCTTCATTGCTCTCCCTTTGCTTTCTGTTTCTTTATTTCATCTCTTTCTTTCTCTAATTTTTTTTAAATTAACCCAAAGAACCACCTTCTTTGTCAAAAGCAAAGTTTCATAAATAAAAATTTATCATATTTCAACTAATTTACATAAAAAATTTCTACTCTAAGGAAATCAAGCATCATAGTCACTTTTCTTAAAAACTTACTATTATGAGAGAGAGAGAGAGAGAGAGAAAGAGAGAGAGAGATAGTACTTAGAGGTAAAATTTATGCTTTCTTGTGTTTGCATGCATGCAAAAAAACAAAAAACAAAAAACAAAAACTACATTACATTTGTACATCAAATAAATAATTTAATATTGAATACAGATTGTCTGATTTCTAAATAGTCAAGCATAACAAGTGATTTAAAGAAATAAGTATATAAATGTGCATGCTAGTTGAAATTACATATTGAACCAAGAGAAATGAGGGCAACTTCCCGCCCATGAAACTTCCCTCTAATGTTCTCTAAGGGCATGTTTGATAGCTAGAAAGTAAACCTGCACTAAAAATTGAAAATTCTTCTTTGCAGGGAAGAAAGAAGATCTCAAAAAGAAGCTATGGGTATCTGTTAGATAACCTGTATGAATGTCAAACAAGTTATAGTGCATATGTTTGACAACCTGTTGGAATATATAGTTATATCTATTTAATACTATTTAAATATTATATATTAAATGTGATTTTTATATAAAATATAAAACATATTGTATTATAAATAATACAAATATATATTAAAAATTTAATTACATAAGGGCATAATAGGGTTTGAGGAAAAAGCTCTTTTCGATGGCCAAGTTCCTATTTTAAGTTCCATCACTTTAGATGGAACTTTTTTTTCTTAAGCACAAAGGAGTAAGGAAGTTATGGGGGAACTTCTTTATTGTATAAGTTTTATGCATCAAACATGGGCGTTGTACAATAATGGGGAAATTATTTCTTCCTTCCACTAACTTATTGTTACCAAGCACACCCTAAGTGGAGTCGGGGAAAGAGAGGTTAATGATAGCAAAGGAGGAAAGGAAGATGAAAGAGAGTAACACAAGTGCAATGGGAGGAAACACCGGGTTCATGAACGTGGTGATCATGTTCATCCCACTTGAACCTTGCAAATCCTTGTAAGAAATGACCTAGAAAAAAAAAAATTCCCTTTTTTTTTGTTCTTTTATTGCAAAAATGGGAGCCTACCTAGAATAATAATCCGGTAAGAAATAATGAAAAAATGAAGTTTCATGATGAATGAGAATTTCTAGGGAAAAAATGGTGATCTAACTATACCCAAAAAAGTACTCTCACATCCAAGACTAGGTTTTTCTCTTAAATAAAAAACATGGAGGGGAACTAGTATTTTTGGTTCCTAGTTACCCCTGCATTAGGTTTTGGGTGCAATATGCACCGCACATTTAAATGAACAGTGCAGAGTGTAGGGGATGCACCACTACATATGTGTTCCTTAATGCATCTATCTTAGTTTGATTGTAACTAACTTGCTTGAGTCAATAAAGCCAAAAGATTTTTATTTATGTGTAAAACCCTATTTAGGAATACATTTAAGATCCCAAAGCTTGAGAATATAACTGGTTCATTCCAACAAACAATCTAAAAAAATATATTATAAAAGAAAGAAGGGGAAAGAAGGTGCTCTATATGTGATTGAAAAGATTCATTTCAACAAACAATCTAAAAAAAATATAATAAAAGAAAGAAGGGGAAAGAAGGTGCTCTATATGTAATTGAAAAGATAATATTTTAAGATTGAACAAAAAAGTCCACTTTTTTTTTTGCTAGTCTTCGTTTGGGTGTATTTTCAACTCAAGAAAACCAGATGGAATAGTTTATGGAGACACCCCTTTTGAATGGGCATGAAACTTAGGGGTTTTGACATCCAAAAGGCTTTGTGTAACTATGTAAATATGGGAATATGGTAGCAAATAAAAAAAAAAGGCAGCTCATCAAACGTAGTGTGAAGAGTAGACCGGTCGAAAAAGCCCTTTGGCATTATACCCACCAAAACCCACTAGAATTACCAAAAATCAGTGTAGGAAAAATTGCGCGGTTCAAATTCTAACCGCCCGATTAGACCTGGTTAAATTAGAATTGGTCAGTGGCCGACTCGGCCGGGTATTTTATATAAAATCTCAAAAAATAAAAGATTTTTTTTGTACTGTATTTTTTAATGTTTTTATCATTTTGGCAAAGATTGAATATTGTTTTGG